ATAGCGTACCGTTCGCAATAATCATTTGCCTTTCGTATATCCTGTTTTCAACTTTCAACTTCTCCCGCGATTTGCGTAATTAAATGGAACGTGTGATACATCATATTATTCAATCGACCGTTCCATTTACTTTCTTCAAGAATCAGAGGATATAACAATATATATATATGTTATATTGTATTGAATTTGTAAATTTATTGAATTTATAAAATATTTTAATTAGAGAAGCTCAATAATTTATCGCTTCATCACTTCTTTTAATGAAAGGCTATATTTACTACTTGATCAAGATACTTTTGATACTTTGTCAATATTTATTGCGAAAAAATAATTATTCATGAAATAATTTTTATCAACAAAAATTATAAATTAGATTTAATTAATGAATAAAGATTTTAACGAATCAAAAATATGTGACTTTTTTGACAATTTTCTAATTATAATTTTTCTAATGATAGTTCAATATATTTTTGTAACACGTATTATTGTTTCTTTTTCAACGTAATATCAGATCTTTTATTTTCAATAATAAACATGCGGTTTTATGTATATTTGAGTAGCAAAAAAAAACAGAACAAGGAAAATAACGTATATAATGGGATGGGATAATACGATCAGAAAAACAAAATGCCTTAAATGTATGGTCAATTGCACCTTGCAGTAGAATAGGTCAGTGTGTAGTCACACGTTCGCCTAGTAGGATAGCTTTGCGGATAATCAAACAATATTGAATTCTAGAAATTATCTGGCAAATTTTGTTTTATTTTTTTCTCAACTATAATTTCTCTTAATTAATATGTTTTATTTAATATTTTAATTTCTTTTGATATTGATATTTATATTTTAATACTTGACAATTTTTTATATTTTAATTTCTTTAGATATTATATAATATAATATTATATATTACATAATAATATTACATATTTTTTAAACAAAGTTAGAAGTATAGTGCTGTATATAATATGAAACGAAGTTTAATTTTATTAATTATTCTAATAGCATTAATAATATTTCATGAATAATATTTTTTAAATATTTTGAAAAAATAAAACAACACAAATTCTGTTTAATAATCATCAATCAAGTTTTTAGTTCTTGTGTATATATACATATTGGCTTTATTTCAAATAGACAAATTCCTTCATGTTTATTTTCCGCAAAATGATCTTCCTTTTTGTAATAAATCAATCATGTGCTTATAATTATTTATAAATTATATATACTCATGATTTTATGTCATGAAATAAAATTGATTAATTGGCGATATTGTATTTTTATTCCATATAAACTTTAATCGAACGAAATATGTATTAATAGATTCTATTATTAAAAATTATTATTAAAATTATTAAAATTTTAAAAAATTTGGTAAAAACTTCTATATTCTTCAATTTCTTCATTATTATTTATTAAATAATCATTTAATTTTATATTGCAGGCTGCCGCAATGTGGCCTGGAGTATTGAAGTTATTGGTGTTATTAACATTCTTGCTACATCCATCAAGGTATGTTATTCAATAGTTTTACATATTTATATATTTGCTCCATTAATTAATCACATATATTATTATATATTTCTATTCATTGAAACGTGATTCTAAGAATATTTATAATTCTTATAAGCATGAAATTTAAGATCAGGATTATTATTTAAATATATTTTATATTATTTTATATATAATATTATAATATTCAAATATCCAATTCAAAAAATTTTTTATCATTTTTTCACTTATTATTATACATTTTTTAAATCAATTCAATGTATAAAATAAAAATTGATAAGATAACAACTGATTCAATTTTCATTCCTGATTGCAGATGTACGCAAGGAAAAGTGAATTACCGGGAAAAGGAGAAAGAAGTGTTAGACAACATTTTAGGAGGATACGACGCGCGTATCCGGCCCAGCGGAGAAAATGCAACAGGTGAATATGGATAATCTTTTTTTACGTCCATTATTCCTTCCAGTCTTCCTTACCAAAAAAAAAAAAAAAAAAAAAAAAAAAAAAAAAAAAAAAAAAAAATATATCCACAAAAAAAAAAAAAAAAAAATATATCCACAAAAAAAAAAAAAAAAAAAAAAAAAAAGAAAAGAAAGAAAAAAAAATTATATCGACATAAAAAATCGAATACAATTAAAGAGACAATGAAACCTAAATTTAATTTAAATAAGCTCAAATAATTGGACAAAGGATAATT